CGGCCTGCATCTTTGCCCAGAGGGTCTCTGTGAGCGCTCCTTCTGCCGCCCCCCTTCTTCTGGCGGACACTCGCCTGCTTCTGGGCCAGGCGCCCCCGCCAACCCCTCCTCAGGCTTTCTGGGGCAGGTGCGCCCCACCTGCACCCCCACCACCCAGGCTCCCGGAGGCAGAGCTCCAACCCCACTGACTTGTTGGGAGCCGTGTTCTGAAGAGCTGCCGAGGGCAGAGGGGTTTGCTGAGCTGGTGGAAGGGGAGGGAGGGGGGGAGGGAGGGAGGGAGGAGGGAGGGAGGGAGGGAGGGAGGGAGGGAGAGAAGGAGGGAGGGACAGGTGGTGGATGACCGAGGGGGCGGCTCTCAGCGGCCTCCTGATGTCCCTGGGGTGGGCTCAGTCCCTTTCTCTCTCACTCATAAAGGTCTGGGCAGCACGGGCCCTGCCCCCACCCCTCCTGTCCTGTCCAGCTGTCCCCTGAGCTCGAGGCTGGTGGCCTGAGAGAGTGGGGGTGGGACACACACACCACACACATTCTCGAACATGCATTCACACACACACACACACACACACACTCACTGTCACACACAACATTCTCTCGGCACACACACAGTCTCACAACACACACCAACACACAACCCAATCACATCTCACACACAACACTTCTTCCTCACACACACACATCTCACACACACACACAGTCTCACACAAAACAACATTTCTCTTACAACACACATTCCACACCACAGTATCTTACAACACACACATTTCACAACACCACGCATGCTCACCACACACACATTCTCACACACACACACACACACATTCTCTCACACCATCGCTCCACACACTTCTGCACGTCTCACACACACAAACACATTCCTCCGTCTCACACACACACACACACATTCTCTCACACACATTCTCTCACACACACACATATTCTCTCACACACACATTCTCTCACACACATTCTCACACACACACTCATTCTCACACACCCACACACATGCGCGGACACAACACTGGTCGCCCACCACAACATGGTCGCACACACACCCACATCAGCGGACACACAGGCCGCCCACCCACATGGCGCGGATCACACACACAGTGCGCTACACACACACACAAGGCGCCACCCCACACACAGGCGCACACACACACCACACACAGGCGCGCACACACAGGCGCGCACACACACACTAGGCGCGCACATCTACAACACACACACAGGCGCACACACACACACAGGCGACACACACACACAGGCGCACACCCACACACAGTCTCACACACACAGCGCGCACACACACATTCTCTCTCACACACACACACAGTCTCTCACACACACATTCTCTCACACACACTCACACACACACATTCTCTCACACACACACTCACACACACACATTCTCACACACAGGCTCTACACAACACTCATTCTCACACACACACCACCTCTCTCACACACACACACATTCTCACACACATTCTCACACACACAGTCTCACACACACACACGTCGCTGCAACACACACACAGGCGCGCACACACACAGGCGCACACACACGCACATGCTCTCACACACACATGCTCTCACAACACCCGCACATGCGCTGCGCACAGCACAACGGCGCGCACACACCCCCACACAGGCGCGCACACACACACAGGCCGCGCAACACATGCGCGCACACCACACACACTGCACCGGCACACACAGGCTCGCACACACACAGGCGCGCACCCAAACAGGCGTCGCGCACACACACACACAGGCGCGCACACCACACGCAGGCCACACAGGCGCGCACCCACAACACACAGTTCCACACACACACACACACAGGCGCGCCTCACACACACACAGGCGCTCACACACACACACACAGGCACACACAGGCACACACATTTCACACCACACCTTCTCTCACCACAACATCTTCTCACACACACACATTCTCACACACACATTCTCTCACACACATTCTCTCACACACACATTCTCACACACACATTCTCTCACACACACACATTCTCTCACACACACTCACATTCTCACACACACACACTCACATTCTCTCACACACACATTCTCACACACATTCACACACACACACACATTCTCTCACACACACACACACACATTCTCTCAACAACACCCACATTCTCATTCACACACACACTCACATCTCCACACACATTCTCTCACACACACATTCTCACACATTTTCACACACATTCTCTCTCACACACACATTCTCACACACACTCACATTCACACACAATTCTCTCACCACACACATCTCTCACACACATTCTCTCACACACACACACTCTCTCACACACACATTCTCACACACACACACTCACATTCTCTCACACACATTCTCACACACACACAACACACATTCTCTCAACACACACACACACACACACACATTCTCTCACACACATTCTCACACACATTCTCTCACACACACATTCTCTCACACACACTCACATTCTCTCACACACACACATTCTCTCACACACACATTCTCTCACACACACACTCACATTCTCACACACATTCACACATTCTCTCACACATTCTCTCACACACATTCTCTCACACCACATTCTCTCACACACATTCTCTCACACACATTCTCTCTCACACACATTCTCTCACACATTCTCTCACACACACTCACTCTCTCACACACACACATTCTCTCTCACACACACATTCTCTCACACACACACATTCTCACACACACACACATTCTCTCTCACACACACACATTCTCTCACACACACACATTCTCTCTCACACACACACATTCTCTCTCACACACACACATTCTCACACACACACACATTCACACACACCACACACACACTCTCTCTCTCACACACACACACATTCTCACACACACACACATTCTCTCTCACACACACACATTCTCTCACACACACACATTCTCACACACACACACATTCTCTCTCTCACACACACACACACACACACATTCACACACACACACACATTCTCTCTCTCACACACACACACACACACACATTCACACACACACAGCTCTAAGCCAAACTGCTTCCCCTCACCTCCCAGGAAGGTGGTCCAATGCTTCCCAGATGCCTAAGGCAGAGCCAGGAATTCCGTGCAACGGTGACATTAAAGAATCCTGCAGAACCTCCCCCCGTCCCAGGCTCCCGCCTGAGCTGTGAGGGGCAGTGCCCCGGCTGCATGGAACTTTCTGGCACTTCTTACTCCACACTCCACCGCAGCCAGGACGCACAGCGAGCGGCCTCCCTGGAGAGGGGATTGCTGTCAGGGAGGTGCCTCGTCCTGAGCTGTCACATACCCAGGGGACAGTGGGGGTGTACCCCCAATTCTGGGCAACCCTGGCCATCGTGGGGATTGTCCTGGGCTGGCACTGGGACTCGAGGGTTATTCTAATTCAGGTTTTAAGCAGCATTTCCTGCCCGGCTGCCGCCCCCGGCCACACTCAGACCACCTGTCAGGGCGGGAACGAGGGGCCACGTGGAGCTGCCTGGCCCGGGTGTGAGCGGGGCCTGCCGGGCTGGCCGCGCAGCCAGAGTGAGGGTCACAGAACACCGTGACCAAGGACCCTGAGACACGCTGGGGTCCAGCTCTCCTTCTGAACAAGAGGAAACGAGGCCGAGAGCAGCGCGGGCAGCTGCCTGGGGCCACAGGGCCAGCAGCACACAGACCTCTCAGCGCTTCCTCGTGACCTCACGGCCACCTTCTGGCAGGGATGGCGCCCAGGCCACTTTACAGATGGGGAAGCAGAGGCTCAGAGAGGTCACGCTCCCCGCTCAAGGTCACCCAGCCAGGGAGAGGCCTGGAGGCCCCGCTGTGACTCCCGGTGCCCGGCACTGGCTGCTCTTCTCTTGGCATCTCTGTCTGGGCTTCCTGGGCAGGAGCCAGGGCTAAGGCAAAGGATCAGAGGCCGGAGCGCAGGGCAGGGCAGACACAGAGGCACATTACATAACGCCCCTTTCCCCTTCGCGGCCCCACCGCCCAGGGGTGCCGCCAGGCCACCCACACTGAGAACCTGACTCCAACCCGAGGACACGATGGCCCCAACAACTGGCACTGGCTCTTTCCAAAGACATGACAGTTGGAGGCGCCAGGACGCGCTGGCTTGCCCCTTCCTCTCTTGTTTCCTCTGGCTGAGTAGCAAATACAATACGAATAATGATAATAATAATTAGAATAAATATAACCTGAAGACGCGTGGGGTCTCGTTGCCATGGCAACCGCGGGAGCTAATCAGCTTCCGAGGCCGCTGCCGGCCACCGGGCCCCAGGCACCAGATCAATACCCAGTCGGTCCCGGGAGGCGGCGGCAGCTCCGCTGGGGTCACGCGGCGGGGGACAGCAGGGGCGCGCACTTAGAAGAGCCTTCCTGGTCGCCCGCGCCGCGCAGCCGGGACCCCAGATCCGGCCGGGGCTCCAGGAGGCTCCGGAACCCTGTCAGGCGCGCGCGGAGCTCCGGCGATTGCGCTCCCGGACTGGGTCCTCGGACTCCGGTCCCGCCTCGGACGTGGATCCCAGCCCCAGCAGCCCAGCCGCGTCCTGGCACCCTGCGCCCCGAACTGCTCCTCCACCCGGCGCGTCCTCTCCCAGGGTTCAGCGACCCCGACCTCGTGAGCCCTGGCGCGGATCCCAATGCTTGGGCACCGGCTGCCCCACACGGCCCCTGCCCCCAGGTTCTCCCCTGGGCGTCCCCAGCTCCTTTTTACAGCACCCCGATCTCCAACGCACCGACCCGGGCTCTCCCCGGGAGCCCACTCCTCCCGCCGGCTGCGGGCGCCCGCACCCCTTCTCCCGCGCCTGGGCGCCGAAGACCCCGCCCCCAACTCGCCGGGACCCTCCTCCGCCAGGAGCTCCGCCCCCCGGCCCCTTTCCCCAAGCGCGGGGACCCCGGCCCGGGCGCACCTTCCCCCGCAGCCCCCGCCCGGCCGCCCGGGCGCGGCTCACCTCGTGCCCGCCGCCGCTCGCTCCTTGCTCCGCCGCCTGGAGCCGCGCCCGCGGGGCTCAGCCTCCTGCTGGGGCCGGGGCCACCCACGCCCCGCGGTGCCGGGCCCCGCAACAGTTGTCCGACTCCAGGGGCTGGGGGACGCGGGGGTCCGGGCCGGCGCAGGGAAGGTGCCCGCTCCTAGGCGCGCGGGGCGCGGCGCGGCGCTGGGGTGCGGGCTCGGGCTGGGGCTCCGGCTGGGGGGCCGGCCGCCGGCCGCATGCCCCTTCGCCCGCCCGCGGCTACAGTGCGGCCCGAGCCGCCTGCCCACCCGCCTGCCCCGCGCCCCGCGCCGCGCCCGCCGCTGCCGCGCTCATGCCCGCCGGGCCCTGCGCTCGCCGCCGCCGCCGCCACTTCACTCTTTGCCGCTCTCGCTCTCTCGCTCGCGCCCTCTCTGCTGCCCCCTCTCCCAGCTCGTGGCTCCCAGCCGGCCGCCCTGCCGCGCGGAGCTCCCCCTCTCCTGCGCCCTCGGCGGCCTCTCTCTCTCTCTCTCTCTCTCTCTCTCTCTCTCTCTCTCTCTCTCTCTCTCTCTCTTCTCATTTTTCCTTTCGCAATCTCTTTTCTTCCCCGCGCGCGCGCTCCACCCTGGTGCTTCTCTTAACGTTCCTTTGGCGATCCCGCCCTTCCTCCCTCCCTTCCTCCCTTCCTTCTGTCCATCCCTCTCAGCGTCTTTTCCTCCCTGCCCGGTGCCTTCCTTCCACTCCTTCTTCCTACTTTCCTTCTCTCCTCCCGCGTTCCTTCCTCTGCTCAGCTCTTCTCTCTCCTTTGTTCCTTTCTTCCTCTCTCCTCCCTTCTCTCCTCTCCCCCACCTGGCTCTGGTTCTGTCCCCAGGCCCGCCCGCCGCACACTCACCTGCCTCCCTCTTGGTTGCTCCCCAGCCCTGAGCGAGGCTGGGCTCCAGCCTCTCCCAGCCCCTCCTGCACCTGCGCCAGGAGGGCCCCACCCACAGTGCCCGGCCCCAGCCCTTAGTGCCAAGCCAGACCTTCCCTGTAGCCAGACCTGCTGGAGGTCAATGCCAGGGGCCAACGTCAGGGTGGGGCTGGGTGTGAGGATCTCATCCGGCAGATCCTCTGTCTACTTGCTAGGAAAAGCCCAGCTTCTCTGACCAGAGCAGAGACTACTGCTTGGGCCCCTCTCCTGTTCCCGCCTCCTTTTCGCCTCTCCTCCCGGCAGCCCCCCCATTTCACCCCTCACCTGCAGGACAAGGCTGTGCTAGACTCTGTGTGTGGCCTCAAGCCAGTGAGCCAACCTCAGTAAGCCTCAGTTTCCCCACCTTCCTCTGTCCCTGACCCAGTGACCTCCAGTGGCAACGAAGGTCACGTGGGGGCACATGGTAGTCTCCTGGAGGACCCCACAGAGGGATCGCCTTTGGGGAGGGGCGGGAGGGGGTTTGAGTGCTCTGGGGGGCAGGCCAGTTCCCCGCCCCCAGACCCCGTCTCTCACTGCACTGGACCCGCTTCATTTCACCAGGAGCTGGGCTGAGCCCTTTAAATGCTTCGTTGTATTTATTCCTCACCATTTTACAGATGGGGCAACTGGGGCTCAGAGAGGTTAGGACACCTGCCCTGAGCCACACAGCCAGCGAGGAGCAGAACCAGGACTGCAGCTCAGACCCCGCTGACCTTCAAGCCCAGGCCCCACACCCGCGACTCACTCCCAGGTGCCAGCGCTTTGCTGGAGCGCCTTCCTCCTCACCAAGACAGCCCTTCAAGGACGGGCCTGTCTCCTTCAAGATCCCAGTGCTGAGGGGCTGGGGCCCAGGCCAGGGCTGCGGCACCTCACTGGAGGGTGAGGAAGGGAACAGTGCCAGGGTGCCCCCTGCAGGAAGCCTGCGGCTCTGGGATGCCTCCGTCTCCCATCTGCAGCCCAGGAATTCATGCCCCTTCGCTCTCCCGTGGATATGGTTTGAGCAGATGCTTGGGGTCTTTGAGGCTCACACGTGTGCACTCGCGCACGCGGGTGTGCGGTGTATGCATGGGATGGGTGTGCTGTGTGTGTGGGTGTGTGTGTGTGCGCGCGCCTGTGTGTGCATTCAGGGCGTGTTGAAAACCTCCCCACTGAGGAGAGCCCCCCACCTCCCTCATCGCTCAGCTGGGCTCCGTGTCCAGCCTGGGCTCAGGTGCGGCGCTGGACACCCAGAGGTGAGAGCTCACGCCGAAGACGCGCACAGCCTGGGCGGGTGACACGTGGGATGTCAGACCTCCGGCAACACCCACTCTCTACAGCTGAAACACAGGCACCGCTCCTGCGTCCGAGGCCCTGTGCCCGCTCACCCAGCTGCCTCCCAGCCTCTTCTGCAGCCACGCGCCCTGAGCTCGGCACACCCCCGTGGGCTCAGCGCGCCTCCATCACGCACCGGCTGTGTGCGGGGCTGGCTGCCCTCGCTGTGCCCCCAGCGCCCCGCACCTCCCCTGCCCTGCAGTCAGCCCTTCACCTGGACAAGGCTGCTTTGCTCCCTGAGCCTGTTTCCTCATCCACAAAATGGGGATGATTCCACCCACCTCAAAGCCTCAGCGTGAGGATTGAATGAGAGGCTGTCGGACAGGAAGCCGTCCCGCTGATTATCCTGAAGCTCATGCACGCTGGCACTGAGCAGGTGTTTGATCTGCACCAGTGACCCTTCGGTTCTTCCAGGAGGTCACGGGGTGGGCAGGCGAGAGCGTGGACTTGGGAGCTGGTCAGACCTGGGTTGAACCTCAGCTTGGCCACTCACCAGTCGGGTGACCGGGGGCAAGTTCATGCCCCTCCCAGCCCCTCTGCCCTGGTCTCCTGTGGCTGCTGTAACCATGATCACAAACGTGGCGGCTAAAACCACACGTGGGCAGTGACTTACAGAAACCCCAAAATCCGCCCCACTGGGCTGACGTCGAGGTGTCAGCAGGGTCGCCTCCCCTGGAGGTTCGAGGGGAGAACCCCAGCTCCCGATGGCCGCGGGCATCCTTGACTTGTGGTCACTCCGGCCTTCAAGGGCGGCGTCTTCCAGCCTCTCCGTCCCGTCTGCACGCGGCCACCTGTCTGTGCAGAGCCCCCGTGGCCCCCTCAGGACACCTGTGGTTCAGTGTGGACACCCCGATAATCCTGGATAATCTCCCATCTCCAGATCCTTCTCAGCCACACCCATAAAGCTCCTTCCGTCTCCGGCTGCACAGGAAGCACCCCGGTACCAGGGACACGACAGGAGGCTACCTTTCGGGTGGGGAGCCTCCTCCATCCCCGCACAGTGCAGCGCGGAGCAGCACGAGGCAGGCGCGGGGAGGGGGGACGGGAGAGAGGCAGGGGTGACAAGCAAGGGCCCTGACACCATGGATCCTTCAGCAAATGTTTGTTGTCTCCAGTCTGGGCGGGGTGGGGCTGGGGGAGGGGGAGGGATGGGCAGCGGGGGAGGGGTGGGAGGAGGCGCAGAGATAAGGGGGGAGAGAGGTGATGGGGTGCAGGTGACCACACAGCCCGCCGTGGGAACCCTTACCGGCTCCATCCACGCGCCTTTATTGCTCCTATTTACTATTCCCTGCCTTCGGGAGGCCTGCTCCCCCGCAATCCACGCTGCTCCCAGCTGGGGGTGGGGCGGCGGGCTGGCGGGAGGGCGGCCTGGCGATGACTCACACTCCTTCTCTCTGGTGGAGAGCAGCCTTTTGAAGGCGCTGGCTGGGGAGGGAGCTAAATTTAAAGCAGGCTTCCCGAGAAGATCACCTGCCACGTCAAAATCACTGCCATTTCATGAGACGCTGGGGGCACACGGCACTCTGTCACCGTCCAGGCCCCAGGCTTTGGGCGGGAGGGAGGCACTCGGAGGCCGAGACCCTGGGTGGCCGTGGGGCAGGGGTCACGACAGCTGGCCTCCAGCCTCCTTGTCATCTTCCCCCCTCCCCCACCTTCTTCGGGGAGCCATCCACCCTCCCAGGACCCCTAAGTCCCTTCTTCTCCGTCTTCAAAGTCTTAGGGTTCCAACCCCAAGCCCCCACTTCCCAAATTCAAGACATGAGGAACAGGACTCTGAGAGGTTTGAAACTCCCCAAGACACCCATCGAGGCTGTGGCCAAGCGGGGTGTGGCCCGTGCCCCGGCCCACGGGCGGCTGGTCCCTCCGTGGAGGGGGCGGGTGGGTGGTGGGCAAGCCGCTCACCTGTCGGAGCCTGTTTCCTTACCCACCCAGCGGGGATGAAGTAGCACCTGCAGCAGCCACTCGAGCCCCCTGGTGGACCCCAGGAAAGAGGCCCTGAGCTGGGGAGGGGCCCAGGGCCCTGAGGGCGGGAGGAGCCCGCCAGCAGCCAGGCCTCCCTCCCAGCCCGCCCCCCCCCCCCCCCGGAGGGTGAGGCCGGTCAGGTCCTGGCCACCCTGTTCCCCTCTCGCTCCTGTGCACCCACAGCAAAACCAGAGCCTCCCCGTGGCTGCAGGGCCAGGTCACAGGGCGCCAGGGCAGGCCAGTGGTTAGGGCTCTGGAGCCAGAGCAGTGAGCTTGGTCCCCGCACCCCGCTGTGGCCTGGTGCGTGCTCTCAGCCTGTTCGCTCCTCTGTAAGGCCTGGTCTTACCTGCGCGGAGCCAGGCGCGCAGACACTCAGGACGCGGAAACCTAGCGGTGGCCGCTGGTTCTTAATCTGCTCTGGAGGTTTGGGAGACTCGACGCCATGGCTTCTGTCTGCATCCAAAGTGCACAAGCAACCCCAGACCTTCCCCTCGGTGTCACCTGAGGCTGCGGTCAGCGGCAGAAGGGCCTTTGCAGGTGCAATGAAGCTGACCTCTCAGCTGACCCTAAGAGAGGTCACCCTACATGCCTGACCTCGCCACACGAGCCCTTTAAAAGCGGAGTTTTCTCCAGGGGGCAGCAGAACAGGGGGTCGGAGAGGCCAGGGTGAGGAGGGATTCCCCAGGAGGCAGGCTGGTGCTGAGATGGGGGGGTCGCAGGTCAGAGCAGCCCCCAACCAACACCCAGGATGGAGTGGGGACCTCAGTCCTGCAACCACCAGGAACTGCGTGCTGCCAGCACCCCGAAGGGGCCTGGAGAGGCATAGGGCCCAGCGTGGCTGATGCCCGAGAACTTGCTGAGCCCACCCAGCCTCTGACCACAGAGCTGCGAGGGAGGGAATGGCCGCTCTCGGAGCCTGCTGCATTGTTAGGTCGCGATAGAAAAGCCAATGACCGCATGCCAATCACTTACTCTTTTACGGAGTGGAGATCCTTACAGCCCATCCCCCCACAGCAGACCCTGGGGTGGTCTTCGCACAGCGTCACCCTGACCCTCCTTCAGCGGGAGCCTGAGACCCTGCCGTGGCATTCAAGGCCCTCCCTGTTCTG